CTGTGGCTCCAAGCCGGGTCGGAGCTACTTTTTGCTTCGGGGAGTGGAGAATTATTCCTCTCGAGTACTGAGCATTCAGGTACAGTACCACAAACCTCCCTCCACCGAGGTCAGTGGCGGTCCACCTCCGAAAGCTGCTCGTTCTACTCCGTACTTACTCAGTAGTACCACCGGTACGCCGGTACGTACCTGGCAATCCTCAGGCCGACAACCCACGGAACCTCTACCAAAGGGACGAGCATTATCTGGGTCAGGGGTGAAGTAAGAGAGGGAAAAAAAACAGAAGGGATGGGGTTTATGGTCACTTACAGGCAAAGAAAAAAAAAAAAAAAAAAAGAGAGGGAAAAAAAAAAAAAAAAAAAAAAAAAAAAAAAGGAAAGGGGGAGGCAAATTTCGGATCGAAGGTTCTCAGGATCGATCTGAAGTGGCAGCAGCCCTGAGCAATTGTTACCCTCCCCGGGTTCGTCTGAAGAGTAGCAGCAGCAGCAGCAGCAGCACCTCCTCGCAGCCCAGCGATCTTCCAGTCGATCTCGTCTCAGCTGTGGCGGTGCGTTGCATCTCTAAACTATGCCTCGGGGGGGTTCCTCCTTCCTCCTCCTCCTGGCGGGGGGCCGGTTTCAACCATCTTATCATGAGGTGCCCTCACGTCGAACCACTTATTGATACTACGTACTCAGTACAATGGTTCAGAATCTGGAGATTTAGAAACCATTACGTTTCATTGGATCACCCGAATTCGTCGTCCTTCCAAAAAAGCTAATCTCGTTTGTCTGTAAGTTGACTGTGAGACCGGTAATCTTCTGGTAAAATAATGAAAATGAAAGAGATACTACTAGTAGAGAGAGAGGGGCGGCATTACCTGGAACTCACCTTACCGGAAGCCAGCCAATGAAGCTTTTGAGGTGGGAAATGGTATCGCTGGGGCTTCATTTGGTGCGGTGTTAGCGGATTGGCCAGACCGTCGTCGACAATGACAGTGGACACTGCCGACAATTGAGCTAGAGAGTTAATAGTCTAGTGTTTAGTTTAGTTAGCAGGTGGCAGCAGCCTGGCTTACCTCCTGGGGCACACTGGGGCGTAGATAGAGAGGAAATCGAGGGATTGAGATGGCCTGAGGCTCTCTCTTGTGAGGTGCAGTACAGATTCAGTACAGTACTGTACACCCTGCTGCTAACCATCCTTACTGACTTGGTACAGTACTAAGTGCTCTCTTACTGAACAGCTGCGCGCAGTAGGGGTAGCCTAATAGTGTAGCCCGGTTAACTTACGGGTACTCCGTACTCTTCCCCAGCAAGGCTCCCCCCTCCGTACGTATGTGTATTACCATCTCATCCACTCTCTCCCTCCCCTTCTCCCCGTCCACTCTCCATCACCGGATGCAGCAAGTTCATCATTTCCCCGTCACTTTAGTGTAGTTCCATTCATTCCGTCGTTCTTCCTTCTCCTCTTCCCCTTCTCCTTCTTCTGTTCCCGCTTGGTCCAACTCTTTATTCCCATTATTATTTCCTTCTTCCTCTCGTCTTTCTTTCCTCCTTCCATCTATTCATCTATTATTCCTTTCGTTTCCCTGCATTCCTGTCTTTCGCTTGTCAAGTCAAGTCAATCGTTGAACAGTACTCACCCCGTACAGTATATACATACTATACTCACTCTCCTTCTGTCTATTCCTTCGTTCTCGGAATTCGGTATCTCCCTACAGTCGATGGTTGGTACCTTTCCCGTCTCCTTTTCTCATCCCTCTCCTCCCCTGCTGTTGCGGCCCCCAATGCGTCATTCTTGCCAACTAACGCCTGATCTCCCTGTCCAGCTCTTCTTGAATTGACCCACCCCCGGAATATTACAGCCTGGTCCAACGGGCGCGACTGCCCTTCGACTTCACTCTTCGTGTATATCAGATCAACCCTGCGACGTCGAACGCATCATCATTTAAACACTTTTTGCTCCGATTGGGTCAACGCTCGCGGCGCGATCGGAACCCGGCGCAGTCAATTCTTTGCTTACACCGACCTCATTCGTCTTCTCAGAAGTCTGTTATCGGGTTCGTTTTCCTCACTGCTGGAGCGTGTCGTCTGAAAGTCGAACCACTGTCCGCGATGACGACCATCTGCTCGACTCCAAATTCTCCGCCCGATCTGACCGGGTCCAAATCCTCCAAGTCCTCCTCCTTTCGTTCTTCCTCCCAACATTCCGGCCCCGAGGCTCTTTTCACCGATATTGCCAACTTCGAAGAAGTCGACCTCCAAGACGAAGCGCACATCGCCTATATGGACACTAAGGTCCCTTTTAGTCGGGCGGGCACTATCACGCAGACTTTCCCAGCTAGGATGCAGGCCAAGTCCGCTGTAGTTACGACCCGCGACTTGACCGCCACGAAACCGAGTAAATTGACGGGGCAGACTAATGGCACTCTGGCCCAGCCGGGCCGCGGCGGACACAACACCAAGACCGGAACTCAGCGGGATCCTACTGCGAATAAGCATGCACCGCTTCAAGTGTCTAAACCCCGTCGATCGCGATCGAATTCGCCTTTGCGACCCACTTCGAGCTTAGGATCCTCACCTTCCACACACAGCTTGTCTCTGGCTCCCGCTGCTCCCCGGACACTCAACCGCAAGCCATCCTGGCAGCGCACTCGCAGAACGCTCAAGGATCTGGAGGAGGAATACCACGATTCTGATGATGACTTGCCCGAAGATGCCAGTCTATGGAACGTTCCCATCTCTCCCCGACCGATGCAAGATCGAGCCCCTTCCCGGAGTACAAGCCCAAACGGCCGCAGCCCGGGACCCCGGCCCTTGCCTCTGTCACATTCCGTCTCAGATGTGACCCTTCCAAAGTCCCCATCGGGCTCGCGATCCCCTACGTCACGGAAGGCTCGCTCCAAGCCACGGTCCAGCTCTGCGGGACCGGAACGAGGCCAGATTTCTCCTCGCAATCCCCGAACCTACTCGTATAACAACATGATGTCGGACTTGTCGGAAGAGGCGCGGATCATCACTGAGACGCTGGAGTTTCATGCTGACGAGCGAGAGCGTCGGCGTGGAGAGACTTTGCAGAGCGGGCTGTCTTCTTTGAGGTCTAGCACGGACTCCAAGCAGGGCTCTAAGACACCGATTGAGCTGCCACCGTTGCAGAAGTCGAATATCATGATTGACCCGTTGCCTATCAGCAAGGAGAAAGAAAAGGTGCTGAGTCGGACACGGCCAAGCTGGCTGCCGCCCAAGGATCCTTTGGAGGAAAAGCGGCATTTGAAGGAGTACAAGAAAATGATGGCACAGTCTCGGGAAGCAGGTAAGTCTGCGTCCAAGGCTAGCTTCGACAGGCCACTAACCTTTGGTACAGACAAACGTCGAGCTGCCAAAGTCGCTTCCGAGAAATGCGAGAAGGACAATACCCGGGAAACCCTCCAACAAATCTGGGACGAGTACGTCTATCCAAACTGGGATAACGTCATTCAGGAGCCGCGCACGCGGGAGCTCTGGTGGCGCGGTGTGCCCCCGCGACTTCGGGGATCGACCTGGCAGCGGGCCATCGGCAATGAGCTGGCTCTCTCCGACGAAACGTACAAAAAGGCGTTGCAACGGGCCAAGGACGTGCGTGCCCGTCCGGACAGTGATACTGGGGAAAGCAACAAACGAATGCGGGAGTGGTTCGCGACTATCGAGCAGGACGTGTCCAAGGCTTTCCCGGATTTGAAGCTATTTCAACCTGGTGGTCCACTTCGCGAGACGTTGATCGACGTCTTGGAGGCCTACTCGATGTATCGGAGCGATGTTGGATACATCACTGGACTGCATACCATCGCGGCCCTACTGGTCCTCCAGTTCCCGTCTCCGTCCTCCGCGTTCCTAGCCATGGCCAATGCGCTAAATCGCCCTCTTCCTGTTGCCTTTTTGACACTCGACCGCGGGGCTATCGGTCGGACATATTCGCTAGCGTCCGCGACGCTTAAATACAAGTTCCCACGTCTTTCAACGCACCTCTACGAGACACTCCGTCTCAGCGATGAGGAAATCTGGGAACCGATGTTCCGCTCCCTCCTGACAAACGGGCTGGACTTGGAGCGTCTCAGCAGAGTCTGGGACTGCTGGGTATTCGAAGGAGATCGGATCATGATTCGCGCGGCGGTTGCGACTCTGGGCAGCTTGCAGCTGCAGCTGTTTGGCTTCACCAAACCCGATGACCAGAGTCGACAGTCGGTGCAGGGGATCCTGAGCTGGGGACCGCGTCAGGCGGGGACCAACAGTAGCACAGAGCAACGCCACAGTGCACCGGCAGCTCCTATGCCGGCAGGATTTGGTGGTGGAGGTCTAGCATCTTCCGGGGTTGGTGACTACTGGCGACTCTCCTCGGCAGGCGACGAGGATGGATTTATGAGCGAGGTGAGAGAAGCAGGGAAGGTTCGGTGATTGCTTCCATTCGTTTCTCATTTCTTATTCTTGAACATAATTCTGCTGCAGTGGATACAATATTGGCTGCAACTGTTAATAGGATGGACTGGTCTGTCTTCAGTTCAGTGGGTAGTAAATCAAACTCGCTGTGAATACATAGGAACTGTTGTTTCTGTTGGGCTATTTTTTTTTCTTGTGACCTGGTCAGTTCACTAGCTGGGTAGCTATAGATGATACAGATAAGGGGCTGTTCCTGAATGTACTTAGCAGTAAGGTAAGCTGAGATCAACAGGGACCGATGGTTAGTGATCCGATCGTATACTACTTTTCACCTTTACCATCACCATGACTTCATCCGCGCCGGCGCCGAAAACGTCATACTGATGATGATGCCCCAACAATCCCTACATTAAACCCACTCAATCACGCCAGCCAAACGATTCTTCCATGTACTACCATCATGTTCAATCGCAGTATTCTGTTGCCACGCTCTCTTGGTGCGTCATTACGCCATCGCCCAAGCAAGCTATATAGTCGTCTTTCTCTCCCCGCCAGTGCGACTGCATCCAGAGCATTCGCAACCTCACGACCTACACCATTTGCAGTGACCACACCTCAATTCAAGCATTCCAAAACCACAATGGCAGCGGAAGTCAGCAACACCAACTTTACTTTGGAGAGCCTCTTCAATGTCAAGGACAAGGGTACGTTTCAACCTCGAGGCCTTTGACCCCTTTCCGAGCTCTCGCTCCATACCTTCACCCCCACTGCCCTTCCTCCTTTGCGATACACGTTGTACTAACACGACACACAAACAGTGGCTCTCATCACCGGCGGCGGCAGCGGCATCGGCCTGATGGCCACGCAGGCGCTGGCCACCAACGGCAGCAAAGTGTACATCACGGGGCGGACGTCGGAGAAGCTGGAGCGGGTGGCGGAGCTGTACGGCGGCAAGGCCGTGAAGGGGGAGATCATCCCGCTGACGGCGGACGTGACGGACAAGGCCAGCATCCAGAAGCTGGTGCAGGAGATCTCGTCGCGGGAGTCCGGCCGGCTGGACATCCTGATCAACAACGCGGGGATTAGCAGCAGCACGCAGAACACGGAGCACGACAACGCGGTGGACCTGAGCAAGGCGCTGTTTGACGAGAGCTCCTCGCCCGAGGAGTGGGAGAGCGTCTACCGCACCAACGTCGTGCACCCCTACCTGGTCACCTCGGCCTTCCTGCCCCTCCTGCAGAAGAGCAGCGAGCAGGCCCACGGCTGGAGCAGCACCGTCATCAACATCACCAGTATCTCTGGCATCGTCAAGACCAGCCAGCATCACTTCGCCTACAATGCTTCCAAAGGTGCGGCCATCCATCTCACCAAGATGCTGGCCCATGAGATCTCGAGCTCCGGGCTGCGCATCCGGGTTAATAACATCGCCCCCGGCGTGTTCCCCAGTGAGATGACCGCCGGGGAGAGTGACGAGAAGCAGAAGAGTGCCCTGGAGAAGCAGAAGTATGAGGGTAAGGTCCCCGCGGGACGCCCCGGGAAGGATGAGGATATGGCCAGTGCCGTGTTGTTTGCCGCCACCAACCAGTATCTGAATGGTCAGACGTTGGTTGTTGATGGAGGCTATGTTTTGGCTGCGGGTACTGTCTGATTGTGGCTGAGTGTGTGGAAATGGTTAATGTCTTCTTACGAGAATCTTTATGTCGATAATGGATCGTGGCGCTGGGGTTGACCGCAAGCTGGTCCCTAATGGTATCATATTATCTCTGATTTCTTCAGTACGTCTGCTTGTAGTTACCGTGATGTAAGTCCTCAGCCTACAACTTAGCATTTTCCACCTTGATCGCCTCGCTCTCAGGCACCACCTCCACCATCATCTTACCCGTATTTACACCATTGAATAGATTGATCAACTCCTGGGGCGTGGTCTCCAGCCCCCCCTTCACGATGTGCTCCTTCCGCTTGATCTTCCCCTGACTCAACCACGTGCCCAGCTCCCTCAGCGCAGCCGCGTACTTGTCGGCGTAGTCAAACACAATGAACCCGCGCATAGTGATCCGTTGCGACTATGTTTCGTTAGCAGCCATCATCCATTCCACCGCACCGCTCGCTAGGATACTCACAATGACCATCAGATAATTCTTCGGCCCCTGGGGCTTCTCGACATTATACTGGCTAATGGCGCCGCAAATGACAAAGCGCGCCCCCTTCGCCGCGCGGAACAGACACGCATCCAAGATCTCACCACCCACATTGTCGTAATACACATCAATATAGTCCGGAGTCGCCTCCTTGAGCTGCTTGCGCCAGTCCGCATCCCGGTAGTTGATGGCAGCATCGAACCCCAGCTCCTCGCGCAGGAACCGACACTTGTCCGCGCTGCCGGCGATGCCGATCACGCGCTTCGCGCCCTTGATGCGCGCGATCTGGCCGGCCACCATGCCCGTGGCGCCGGCCGCGCCGGACACGACGACCGTATCGCCGCGTCGCGGCTGGCCGACCTCGGTCATGCCGAAGTACGCCGTCAGCCCCGTCATGCCCAGCACGGACAGCGCGTCCGTGGGCTGGCACCCGGCCGGGATGGTGATCTTCTCGATCGCCTTCGCGGGCAAAATCGCGTACTCCTGCCACCCCGAGTGCGCCGCCACCCACTCCCCGGCCTTGTAGGTGCTCGCCAGCGCCGGGCTGACCCGCAGGATCTGCGCGATGCTCTGCCCGCGCATCACGCTGCCGACTTCCACGGGCGCGATGTACGACCGTTTCGCCGTCAGCCATTGCCGCATCGCCGGCTCCAGGGCCAGGTAGTGGATGCGCACGAGCACTTGATTGTCCTTCAGCGGCACATCGTCGGGGAAGGTCGTGGTCTTCAGGGTGAAGGTGCCGGTGCCGTTGAGCGAGGGGTCGATGGCCGCCTTCGGCGGGTTGGTGTAGATTAGTTGGCGGTTGGTGAGAGGCATTATGGGTGGATGGTTTGTTCTTGGATGAGGATGGGACTGTGGGTATCTTTCGGAGTTGGTCTTGATGGAAAGGGAACAGAGATGGCGAGGAGGAAGGTCGAAGGGGGGTCGTCGGCCCAGATTATGGATTGGAATGGATTGAACCTCGGCTCATGGAGAAGAAGCTCTTTGAGGTAAGATGTCCGACCAGAGGGTCGCACAGCCGAGGTGGGGGTGTGGCATCTGGGGATTAGTGCTCAGAATTTGGAAAAACGAGAATTCGGACCCTTCATAGGGAAAGACAGTATCTTAATACGAAGAGGAGACAACAGCTTGAGTCTGTATAGAGTGGAATTGCAGTCGTGAAGAAAAGGGGTGCATAAGTAGATAAATATGACTAAGTCAGCACAAGCCAGCATAACTTATACTTGCTATGCCCGTCCATGACATCATCCTTCCTCCGTCTCTAATCGATAAGATAGATCACCTGATCGGCTGCTCCAAGTATCTACGAGATACGGAGTACTTCCAGACTGTATCATGGATGTTAAGCACTCTTGAAATGCAGCACAGCAAGCCTACCTTAGGTCATCGTGTCGCCCATCTGAAGAAGGGACTGTCGATCCACCAAGCCACGGCACAGGGCCTTTGTCTGACTGGTCACATCCCTCCCACCCCACGGTTTAGAGAGCTTGCCCCCCAGGGGACGACACTCTGTGATCAAATTGACGTCACCGGCTCGCGCGATGATGTCGATGTCGCTCATTTTGCCTTCGATGATGGCTATATAACACCCAGAAAGTGACAGGTGGAGTGGACTAACAAAGCTTGAATCCGAATCACCCATCACCTTTTACCTACCATCACGATGAATACTACTTCGCAGACCCCATACTTCGACACCAACGCCGCGGCCACTGGCACTGCTACCCAAGCTGGTATCACCAGCACAGGCGATGCCAGGACCGGCCCGGCCCCGACTACTGCTGGCCCGCATGGCTCCGACATGGCCAACAAAGCCGATCCGCGAGTCGACAGTGACCTGAACAACCGCGCCCAGTACGCCTCCGGCACGACCACCACGGGCAACGTGCACCCGCAGGCCACCGCGGGGACCGCAACCACCTCGACTTCGGGCACCTCGACGCGGGGTCCGCACAGCTCCTCGCTGCTGAATAAGCTGGACCCTCGCGTGGACAGCCGCACGGGGGAGAAGTCCACCAAATCCACAAACCAGTCGGGCTCGGGTGCGATGCGCGAACCGACCGATACAACAGGCACCGGCACCGCGGGCGGAGTAGGCTATCAGCCTACGGTGCCGTCCTCTAGCCAGGGCACGCGGGCGGCCGGCGGTGCTAATCCTAGTACTACCGCTACCGCCCCCGCTGACACCACCAACACTGTTCCTACTGCTGGGACTACTGGCACTGCTGGCACCGCTGGCACAACCACAGCTGGCGGTCAGTCGGCGCGCACGGGCGAGAATGTCGGGCGCGGGGTTAAGTCGGTAGCGGCGGGGATCCACGTAAGTCACTAATCTCAATAATCACTGGTTGCAGCCTTGCATCTTTGCAGAAGCTGACGGGCCATTAACAGGGGGCCGGAGAATCGCTCCGCGGTGGACTCAACGCAGCTGTCGACTCAGCCTTTGGCCACGATCAGGGTGCGGCCAAGAACGCAGCCATTGCGGACAAGGGCGAGCGAGAAATTGAAACCGGGCGATTTGGGCGTTCGCACTGAAACAAAATTGGCCTCTAGCTCGGGACTTCTAGTTCGGGAATTTTTTTAATGCGATCACGATGATACGACTGATGCTTGATGCTTGATTGTTTTCTTTGATTAGTCGACAGAGTGGATCCAGCCAGATGGCTGCCTGTTTGTAGCCAACGATTGTCGATTTTCGATCCGATTGTGATGGTGTAATGAGTAACGACGTACAGTACTTTCTTTGTACAGTATTAAGTATGTATAACTGTATAACTGTATATGATATGTGCACTGTGTATGGAGTAAGTATGTATGATGAAGCAGAGTGTTTGTGTTTCCTTGGCGCACGAGGTACGGAGTAGCTTGTAGCTAATGTTACGGACTGGGTCATCGCCAGAGTCAGCTTTTCCTTATACAGCATGAAATTCGGCTGAGTTGAATCCTTCGCCAGTTTACTACCAGCTTACCATTGCTATTAATACGTAGCATCTGCTCTACCAAACGATCTTTCAGATGACGGGGGAAGGAAAGCTTCGCCCTGATCCACTGTCGACTGAGTGGTTTCTCAGCCTTCCGGCCCTCCCGGGGCTGTGCCGGTGGAACCGTTTTCTTTCTTGCTCTTCTCTCTCTTTCGTTTTTTTTTCTCTCTCCAGCTACTCGTACTCGTTCTTCTTTTGCTCTTTTTCTCTTTTTTTTTTTCCTCTCTTCGCTTTTACATCATCTTCCGAACTGCTAGGTTATTCTCTCCTCCAATTCAGATTTGCCCCCCCTATCTTCCGATCTCAGTTACTCCTCCGTTCCTCTCCTTGCTGCTTCTTATTGATTCTATTCCTCTATCGTTAATCAATAAACTAGCGATGGCTCCACCTCCGACGGCTCCGTAGTTCTACTTTAGCTTCACCTTTTCCTCCTCGCCCCTCCCATTATCATCCACTTTCACATGGAGCCTCTGTTGACTTGCCTGAATCCGTGCAAGCTATTGCGTCGTTGCTTCTCCAATTCCCTTCTTATCTATTGGTGCCCGCCCCTCAATGGGTAGATTCTCTCCTTCAACAACCTCATAGCATCCAACATCATTCGCCATGGCGGTGCACATGCAACCGGCTGGTGGTCATACCAGCTCCGATAGCGAAGACCCGTCTCTTCGCGATCCCACCCGGGAAGATGAAGCATACGATATGGTCGGGGTCAGTATTAGTCGAACTCAGAGTCGCATGAAGGCCCGTCGCACGCCGGCTGCCGAGAAATCCCGCGTGATGGACCAGCAGGGCGGATACTTTGATGCCATTCCCGACTCTCCCGAATCCGACAGTGGTCTCTTTGCTAGCCATCTCACCCAAGAACCCGAACAACTGCATTCCTCGCAACCGCATCCTGTGCAGCCGCATCCCTCGCGAGGTGCCAAGGAGAAGCTGAAAGACCATCGGAGTAGTTTTACGCGCTCTCTCCTCAAGACCAGTCTGCCGCTGCGCCCTCGGGCCTGGTCCGGCGACTCCATCACCAACCTTCGTCTGAAGAAGTTCCTACCGGACTCGTGGACGAAACGCATCGCCAGCCAGCCAGCTCCACGCACCGTCAAGCCCGCTCCCGGGCCGGCGCAGAGACGATCTTTGACCGACGAGTCTACGGACGAGCCCATCTCCGATCTCAAGCCTTTGGCGGGGGCCACCGCCGCCCGCCATTCGTATGCACGGCGGCCGAGTGCCGCCGTCTCGGGCAAAGCGCCGCCGATGCTGCGGCGCTCATCCTCTGATCAGTCGCTCTACCTGCGACGCTCCTCCACAGCCTCCTCGCTGGAGCAGCGTCCTCGTTATGAGCATATTCATTCCCAGGTGAATAGCCGCTTCAAGGCCATCAAGGACAGTCTGCAGGACTCCAGCAGTCGTCTTTTAAGCATGCCTACCTTGCACCTGCAAGATCTCCGCAGCGACTGGGGCTATCGGCCTTTCCTCTCCGAGGTCTCCCATCCCCGAAAGGTCCACGAGGAGGAGCCTGTTGCGCCGCATGA